TCTTATCAGGCGTTTCTGTCAGGCTCTTGATGGGATTCATTGCGTTTGATCAGAGATTTCCTATGCCATTGCTCCGTCTTAGAAACTGATGATTACTGAGCAAAATAAACATTTAGAATGACATTTTTATATCAAAATAAATCTGATAATTATTTTTCAATCCGAACCACTTCTCTGCATCGAACATGATGCTACTATTCTACATATGGTTCATTAATCCTAGGCCTCACCTTACTGTAGAGGACAGGGGAGCAGGGGAAGATGACAGAGTGGGAGGCAATGAGCCGGTTGGGGCGGGGCTGCAGAACAAGACAATGCATGGTGAATGCTGGAGGAGCCAAAGGTCAAATGGTCTTAATTTGTATTCCTGACATGCTTCACTGTGTCCCCCTGCATGTCCCTTTGAGGAGCCTCCTTCTCTATAGTCATCACATAACCAAGTCACAATGATATTAGATCACGACCCTATAGCTGCGTGTTAAAAATCCTTACACCAGCTTATATGGCTATATAAGTACATTTTTTTGGGTCTTTTTTACAAGGTGTGCAATAGTCCCAAGCTTAAACATCCCATGCCAGCAGTGGATCATGGTGAGAATAAATATACATTTGAAGGAAGTTGGTACATTTAATCGTTAAAAGAAGCGTGTCAAATACAAAAAACTCCATGCTGTCACTTTACAGACCCTGTTTACCATACGGTATTTCCCTCCTCTGCCCGTGTTAATGAGCTGCAAATTCATGGAGATGTGTTTCCCCTGGGTGACGAATGCTTACGCTTCATAGATGCTTATGTAAACCATGCAAAAAAAAAAGAAAGAAGAATCCCTCCAGATGTAGTGGAAACCTGAAAGTGTTTGCTTCTTACATCTTAATGATACCCCAGTCATAAGCAATGTGAATGTTTTTTAAATCCTCAACATTAATTGTATGCATAATAAATGTACTTTATTTCCATTGCATGTGATGCTAAAAATCCCTTTGAATGCGGTTGTGTGCCGAGAGGCGTGTGGCGCAGTGGATAGAGCCCTGGTGTTGGGATCAGGGGGTCACAGGTTCAAACTGCAGTCAGCATGTCGTTGTGTCCCTGGGCAAGACACTTCACCCCAAATTGCTCCTGTGGGGATTGTTCACAGTATTGAGTATGTAAGTCGCTTTGGATAAAAGCGTCTAACAAGTAACATGTAATGTAATGTATTTGCATTTAGCTGAGCTGGCGGCGCTATGTGCCTTAGGCCCTAGCCACACAGTGACGAAACGGGTCGTATCCGCTACAGTTCTCTATCTTATAGACTGTTCGGCCACACGAGGCCGACAGGGAAACGCGGATACCGATAACGATAACGATAATGATAACGATAACGGGCCCCAAGGTGGGTAGATCTGCGGACGCAACGCTCTGGGGGGCCAAACGGCTCCCTGATTACGCCCTATACGATAATTTCCTGATAACGAAAATACTGACGGGCTGTCAGGAGAGGGGGAGGAAAAGAGAGGCTCCGTCGTTATTAATTTGTTTTAAAGCTCAATAAATAACAAAGAAGACCTTTGACCGGCACTTTTCTAATTTTGTCCGGAAGATTTAAACTCTAAGGACATGTTGACCGGCAGAAAACAATTCTAACGGCAACTCTGCTGCACGGTCCCCTCGTCCCTTGGAAGAGGCGGAGAGGTGGGTGTTTTTCATCTGCTGGTGGACTACCGGAGAGATTTACAGCAGGACCACACGCTTGCCTCGGGGAGGGAGAAAAAGAGAAAGAGCCAGAGCCCTGGCCCCTGCCTCTCTCCCCACCTCTGCTGCTAAATCCACCGCGGAGAATAAACAGAAGGGCAACCATGGCAACCATGCTCGGGAAGTCTTCTTCGCTGCTTTTGGTGTATTTTGTGGTGGAATTACAGCGCCACTTACCGGCATATGTACTACAGCGTCTCCAGCGGGTCGAGCGGTCTCGTGTGGAAGGACACGTTTCTGGTGCCTATTGCGTGTTGACGGAAGACTTTTTTGATATCGAATTTGGTTCGTTTTCGTTTCCGTGTGTCTAGAGCCTTAATATTAATAAATCATATTCATTGGCATTCATTATACTGGCCAATTAAAGAGACTGTAGTATTTTTGTCTTTAAATAATTTAACAAACGAAACAATTTCCACATCAGCTAGCATTTAACATATATGATACTTACAGTGCATACATGAATGCATGGATCCTGTCCCTCAATAAACTCAAGTGGTTTGAACTGGCCTGACCTGAATGTTTATCAGTTAGACTCAGGACATCACTGCATCTCTGCCATGCATAACAAAAGGGGTTCTCATAAATAGGAGGAGGGATCCTCCTTTATCAAAATATTATACAGGCTGGTTTAGCCCTAACTGGCTAAGCCTGCAGCAAGAGACACTGTAAAACTTCCAATTCATCGCAAATAACTCGCTTCTTACAGATAAGAACACACGCAAGATGTTTCAGAGCAAACGTTGAAGTTGTATACTGAAAAGCTTTTTCCAAACTGTCAAAATGCAATCTTTATCATGTATTTTCTTCAAAGTATCTCAGGTTCCGCGATAGTTTCCTCAATGATATTCCTTCCCCTCAAAAGTATTGTTGCAGATGAGCACACTGATAGCCGCTAAAAGCAAGGTGACCTGAAAACAAGCAGCCATTTTCTTTTTTTACTTTTTCTGATGTTTTTACAGAAGACATCAAATCCCCCAGAGCCAGCGAGCTGTATTCTGCCCTTATCTCTTATCTAAATGTTGGACTATTAAGGTGTGTGAATCTGGTGCACTTTCATGTCCATTTGTGTTGGTATAGGAGATAATCTCCCATCTGTTTGCCAAACAGAAGGTGAAGATTTGTTTGTTCAGCATGTAGAATGGAGCACCTCCATGTACACTGTATCAAACATACGTGTTAGGAGAAATGCATTCATTGTAAAGCCATTGCCTGATTAGAGTGTGGGACAAACCATACATCTGGTACACAAGCAGGCAGGTGACTTTGTAAAATACAGTAGACACGGCTACTTAAATATACATCAGTAACAGATTTATGAGGGCATAAGCTGATTGAATCCTTGAGGGTTGATGAGATTGAGTGGGACATTGAATGCTGCTATTCTGTTTTATCCAAATACCAAGAGATGTATTGTATTCATACACAGATCACAAACTGTAGGGCTTATGAATTATACACAATGTTTTTTCAAAGAAGGACGCTTAGGCACTAGAACTGAAGGAGAGTATGTACATATATGTAGAGCTGCATAAATTAGGCATCTTCATGTAGGTCTATTGGCTTTACGCAAAATACTCTATTTTATTGCAACACTCTCACATACACATTTTCCAGGGTATAAAATACAAAAAAAATAACTTCACGCCTGGATAAGCCCTTGACATGAATGCGCCGCTGCGGTATTAGAAAGTGTTGATCTGCTTGAAGAACATAGCTTTGCCTACATCCCATAGAGGGACTCAGTCCTGACTAAATAAACAGATCCAATTAATTATTCACAGTGTCTTCTCTTCTGAGAGTCTCCTAAGATCCTGCGGAGTTTTGCACGTGCCTTTTGACCTCTTTTGTCCACTTGTTAGTGAGATCGCAACATAGATTATAACCGAACAGGAGGGCATCAAGGTACACATGGCTCAAATGCAACCACAAAGATAGTGCTGTTATTAAAGCCAAAAGGCCATCCATCAAAAACCATGATATCTAAACAGTATGTACTTCCCCCGACACTCTGTAATTAGCCATTCACCGTTCAACCAGCAGTGAGCAGGGTCCTTTACAGTTATAAAAGTAGCCTGAACAAGTGTTGGAAGGTTATACTGCAAAGCCTGCAATGAAAAATACCCTGTCAGACTAGGAATTCTAGAATGTACCATATGCAAAAATATGGTTATTGATGAGAGAGGATATGGCTTGTTATTCCTCCACGTTGTGCCAGAGAACAGATATTAAAAAATAATGATTGAGTCTTTTCGCTGCCATGACGCTGTTCACATTCCCTAATGAGGCATTAATGGGAAGGACAGCAGCATTGGGGAACCTGCACTGGATTCATGTGGCTGCTAAGGCCACTGCATTGTCATCAAAGTTGTACAACAACAACTGTGGAGATGTGCACTGAACATGCGGAGAAGACTGTAGTGTACATCCTACGTTAAAGCAAGAAGCCCTAATCCTCAGCGCAGAGAGATGTGTTAAGGGAATCAATATACATGATTTTCTCTCATTGCTTTTGATGTACCCTACAATATTAATGAAAACCCTGCAAACAGCCATCACTACTTTGTGAATGCCCTTTATCTCCTGCTTGTATTGATGCTATAGAAACATGTAAGAGGTGCAACATGCTGTGCTGCGTTGTACAGCACCCCCTCCTCCACACACTTACAGTAACACACATCTACTGTAGATGTAGAGTCAGGGTTTGCTCCCGCTGATGCTACTGCGCTTGTGTCGCACGAGTATGCATGCCCAGTGTTGACAGGCTCAGAGAAACCCATTGTTGATTTGATTACCCTGCCTCCGCCATGGGGGCAAGAGGATGCATGACGATGATCTATGGATCTCTGCAGTGACAACTGACAAAAAGGAGGCGAGATGTGGTGATACAGGTTGCAGCTGATGGAGGAGGGTAATCCAGCCATCACCACTTTCCTTTCCCTGCTCTCGTTCTCCTGAAGTGTCTTGCGTTGTATCTAATCTTCTCTGTCCTCGTCTCCCTGGCTCTAGTTTTTGATCTTCCTTCAAGTATAATGTACACTTTTGTATATGCCACTCCAGATGGGATTTTTGGATGTGTAATGAAACACATAATGCAATCACAGCATGCGATATCCACAGACAAATTGAGAGGAGGCAGCTTGGACGTGGAGCCACAGTTGTACCATGCATAAGCAGCTTTAAAAACCTCCCATTTCCTTCTTTTGCCATCCTCTCTCTGTCTCTCATCTTCCTCTGCTTTTGTCCATCAGCGGTGCATGAAGCTTACCTTCAGGTCTCCGCAGGAGTTGCTGGCAGGCTCCCTTCGAGGCATTTCACAGCTGCTGTTCTCTCCAGGACTGCGCACTCCTTTCCTGGCTTTGTTCAATCAACAACAGCTCTCCTGCCTCACTCCTGCCACCCTGCTCCTTCTGCTCTTCACTGCTCTCGATCTACTCCTGTGTGAGAGGGGGGTCTGCCTTTGCATGTGTGTATGCGTGTGTACGCATCTGAGGGAAAGAGGGAGAGAGAGAGAGGAGAGAGGGAGAAAGAGAGGCAGAGTGGGTGAGAGAAGAAATGGAAAGGATGTTAATGTGCGTGTGTTCTCTTGAATGCTCCTCTCTTCTCATTCTCCACACAGAGATTGGACCTCCTGTCTCTCAGGATTTGTCCTTTATATGAGTGTTTGTTTTTGCCTATTTGCACAGAGCATCAGCCCCTGTGTGTGTAGGTGTCGGTATATTTGTGTGTGAATACATCCGCCACATGGCTCCCTTCTCTTTGCTGCAAAGGCAGTGATACGTGTGGAAAAGTCCAGAGAACAGTGAGGCAGGAAGAGAGATGAGAGTATGTGCGTGTTTTGGGCTCAGACAGGGAAAGAGAAATGGTGAGGAGGAGTGTGGTGTAATCAATTGCTCTGAAACTGCCGATAAAGAGAAATCCCCAAGGGTTTGAGCGAAAGTGGAAACTGAGTAAAGAGTCTTTCGATAGAAACACACGAAAAAAACTGAGCATAACAGAACAGGAAGAAAGTAGCAAAGAAGTAAGAGAAACGTGACGAACACAATGTTTAGAGGAGCAAGTATGATTTGCCATCGTAGTTCCTAACATATTGTGAATGATGCCTCCTGAATAATCTGAAACGAAAGTGAATTGACCATGTTAGCCGTGAGTCAGGGTGGTGATGAACAGCGTGTTCATAAGGCATGGTTAACAGCAGAATACATTCAAAAATCCTAGCAGCAGAATGGATGGATTGCTCATTAACCCCCCCCCCCCCCCCCCATGTTACAATTCTGCTCAGTATACGCGATAGGGGGAGCGTGCAGTGATCCACGATCGGGAAGTGTGTGCATATGACAAGACAGTGCTGACATAGACATGTGCATGGATACTTGACATTGAGGTGATATTAGGCATAGAGAAAATTGAATGTGGACATGACATAACAGGAGGAGTAATGAGAGTGAGCAAAGGGAGAGAAAGATAGGGAGACGATGATAGGTGAGGGAGGAGCGACAGAAGAAGCTATCACCAGAAAGCCTCTCCGTGTACTTCCTGCATTGAGTTTGGGAGGAGATTTATGACTCTGCAGTCCCCCCCCTGCTGAGTCTCCGATGCACAGCGAGATGTCCAGGAGATACTCACCAGCCACGACCAGCCGGGGAGCCAATGACAGAGGACTATGGAACATCAAGGAGTAAGGCTGCAATAATGAGGGGTTTGGGATTTGGTTGAGGGATGCGAGTTCTGGGCCACGCTCCCGAGGTGGCAGTGCTAATCTCAGCAGTGATCAGTGTTGGTGATCTTAATATGAGAAATGCAGCTGTGTGGATCAACCCCAGGTGGTTCAGATCCGGGGCATGTGTAATTATTTCCCCTCCTGAGGTTACACCATTATTGATCAAAGCAGAGCCCCCTCGCTCCACCTTATATTGCCTCCACTGTTCACTCTATGGTGTAATCTATTTGTCTGACCGTACCACCTCACATTAATCACTTCTTGGCACATTCATAATTACCAGTGCCAGGAGGAAACATGTGTAATATAGTGAACATCATTAGAAATGAAATAATAGGCTCTTCATTTGTGCTTTATTAGACGATCCATTAGAAAGCAAATTGTGTATTATCCTGCTAAAATGAACTGCGGGATGAAAACGTCTTAACATAAATATTGAAGTGTTCTGAGTCTGATTTGATATTCATCAATGCAGTCAATCTCTATATGAAATTAACTGAGCACTTACTCATATCACCACAGTTTATAGGCATTCTATGTATACTATGGCTTGATCCGACACTAAAAATCTGGAACAATCTGGAACAAACTACCCAAATCATGCACGTCCGCAGAAACACTTACTATTTTTAAATCGAGACTAAAACATATCTTTTTGCCGCTGCTTTTAATTGAGCTGCTCATATTCACACAGTATGCCTTTTAAACATGTATTGTATAACTGTGGTGTTTATTTTAATTATTTTATTATCTTTGCTTTATAATGCCTGTTGTAAAATGCCATTATATAATGTGTTTTACTGTATTTATTCCTAAAAAGTCTTTTAATTTGTTTTGTAAAGCACTTTGAATTGTCGCGTACAGAAAAGTGCTATATAAATAAACTTGCCTTGCCTTGCCTAAAAGAGATAGTAAATGGGAAATACGTCACAACATTTTTAGAAATTAAACATTCTGCTGAAACAGTTCAGACGGGATAGTAGTATCAAAATGCCTCATTTTAATTCAGCAACAGCAGCCCCCAGTCGATAGTGTGTGTCAGGCCATCAGATGAGGAAAATGATTATTTCAGAGGTCATAATTGAGGAGGGGGAATTAGTTTTTCCTTGCACAGAGCGAGGAGGGGAGAAGGAAGTGTCATTTTTCTTAATCCTCTCGCTTGCTCCCTTGGCTCCGGTATTCTTTTTCATCCTGCAACCCCAACACTCCCCCCTCCCCCCGAAGCCCCATCCTTACTCCGCCATTCACTCCTCCTTTAGCTCCATCCCTCTTTGCGGTTTCTCACCTCCTCCCAGGCGTCATTAGCTCTGATTGATCCTCTTGTCAGGGCTTATGGCACTGCGATGAACTGCATTCTTACTAGCTGCCAGAAAACAAGAAGGAGCGTGGAAGGAAATCAGAGGACAACCACAGTAAATATCACTACAAGGGCATAATGGAGATAGTTAGATGAGTATGTGCGTCAGAGTGTGCGTGGAGATATTCCATAAGAAATGGAACAAATGCATCACACATGTCAGGGGTGAATAGTTCTGCAGAATTGCTGAAGTTGCAGTTGAAGCTGCTCTTAATGCACACTATGTATTGTATTATCTAAAATATTTAACTGTTCATCCAAGGGCCTACTTTGCATTTGGTCTTACACGAAGAGCAAAGATGGAGGGCAACATTTAATAGCATGGAGAACCGGCTGAAAGCATGAGCTAAGGTATGTTTTCAATGGAAATTGGATAAATGATTAAACAATCTGTCTGATCCAGCTGGCACAGCTTTAGCCTAGCAGATTAATCCGTGTCAACATATTGGTCAAATGCATCATTTAAAAACATATAGACAAAATGCTAATATAAATCAACTTGCACAATATATACTCCATTTTTTGTCAAATTCATGCAGTACTGTTTAAAGAGAAGTACATCTATTAATGTTTAAATAATGAATGATATGAACATAAAGACCTACAGCACAGCACTGTGCTTGTTATATGTGAATACATTATTTAGAAATACTGTACTTTATGCACAGAAAGTTGAGTACCCTTAGTGGATGTCTCAACATAAAGAAAATCTATAGAAGCATTGCGTAAAATCATAACAAATGAACATTTTACTTCTAAAACTACATATTATAAGCTTCATAGTAAAATGTATGATGTATAGCGGGTGCCATGACTCAACTACATAGCTTGGAGTATTTCTCTTTGGCTCATAGAAAAATATTTGTTCATGTATAACCTATTAGTTGATGGTATGATTAGAATATGTACCATGCAAATGCGCTGTGTCCAAGGATCAAGCATAAATTATCTTTCATTTTTATATTTTGAAGTGGGTTAACAGAATGTGACTGATCCTTGCCTGGACGCCACTACAGTCCAGACACAGTGACACTATGTGGAGGAATGAGGTGTTGCAGAAAGGGTTTTAACAGAAAACTGTCAGATTCTCTGCACGTTTAGCCGATGCATCTGTAACGCATCCCTAAATCTTTGCTACTTTGGAATTAAGTGTGACTCTTGTACAGTAATTTACATGTAGTGGCTGGTATAATTGATGACCTTTCAGCTTGCTAAATTGCATTTAAAACCTTTATTTTCTCTGTTGTTTTTCTTATTTAAAGATTTGCTGCTGAGTCCAAGTCTTATCAAAAATGGTGTGCATGGCAGTGGTTTGATGTGCCATGCTCAGTGAAGGGCAGACTAAAACCAATTGTAAAAACATTAATTGAGATGTTTTTCAATTTCATTAGAGATTATTTATAACAAGATAACGTTTATTTGAGTGCGAAGCAGGGCCATATGCATATGCTTGTGTAACTACCACATTACCGTACTTATTTTAAAAGCAATAATATGGAGAAATATTCCAATGCTATGTAGCCTTAGAATGCGTATTTCTAAAATGCAATAAATAGTCCATTCGACGGCTTCAGTCCGACTGCCCACTCGCCCATTTTTCCGTATGCTTCAGTCCATCAAATGTCAAAAAGTGTTGGCATTCCTGCTTTCGAGCAACCTCCTTCTCTAATGGCTGTGTGTTAAAATATAGTCCACCGGGAACTGCTGTCAGGTTGAGTTCTTACTGAGAGACAAAGTCTTGTTCCCTCTGAGCATCCCTGCAGGCAGGAAGATCTTTGAGATCTCTAGCACCCTCAAGCTCCAAGGGTTTTTATACGGGTTTAGAAACACCTCCTTTACAACAGTGCCATTTAAATATGCAAGAGAAGTGCTGTCAGGCAGTCATTATAACCACTGCAAAGCAGAGATTAGTCTTTGCAGCACCATTTATTCTTTATTCGGAGAACACCACTCTTCGATACACAAAGAAATTACGCAGCAGTATAAGAGGAATAAAAGACCCGTGAAAAAAACATGAAACGTGATATAGCGGCTGTATCCACAACTGAGAGAGGTGAAATCCCTCGAGTGGAACAATGGGTCAGTGTTCTCTTGTGGATTTTGTCGCTGAGTCTCACTTTACATTGTACAGAACTCTCATGCCGCTGACCATGCCACATCAGAGCAGAGAGGGTGAGAAAAAGGGTCAAGTGAAAGGTGATTTTAAGCTTTTAAGAGGGGTTTCATATTTTTTTCCCCTTTCATTGAGTTGCTTGTTCTGGCTGCCTCGTCAGGCCAAAGTCCTTTGAGTTGTGGGCTGAAGAAAAAAGACTATAGCAATATGTGACCTAAGAATATTGAGTGCAGAATACAAATACATGTGGGATCCCCCTGTGACCTTGGGAACCCAAAATTGATTGAATCAGCAAGGAAAGAGGAATTCCCCAAAGACCGATTGCATGGAGTTTACACTCCATTACTTATACTATCATTATGTCATGCCCTGATAAATAAATAAATGAAACACAATGTCTAAATAAGATTTTCTGTTTTGAATTCCTGGATTCGAATCCCAAGCTTTTTACTACTCTTTATCCGTACTCATGTCCACAGGGCAGACGGAAAATCCCACCCGGGTGTTTAAAAAACAAAAGAGAGAGATAACTGAAAAGCATCTCCCTCCAGCGCTGCCTAACACATCACACAGCTGTACTCTAAATGTTTACGTCATGCTTTTCATTTTACACATCATTACCCACTACTGCAGTTACATGCCGGCCATCTGTCTATGAAGCTGAAATAGGCTATGACAGTCTTAGACAACAACCATCGTGATCAAGGGATGAAGTATGGCAAGGTACAAAAAATACATGATTCTTTTAGTTTTGTGTACGTGTACGTGTTGTTGCGGAAAATCCCCAAAGACGTTATTGACCAGGTTTCTCCTTCAGGCCTGACGGTCCAAGTTAATGTCCATAGGCTTCTGTTGATATGGGTTAGGGTTAGGGTTAAGGCATCATTACTGAATGCACAGTATACAATCATTATTATCAAACAGTGTGCCTTTTTCAGCTTGCCTGCATCTCAGAGTTTACACACAAGATGTCTTGCACAAATAATAATAATAATAGATTTATTTTGTTAGCGCTTTTACATGTGCTCAAAGACGCTTTACAGATATAGTGAAAAATTACATCCAGAAATGAAGGCAGCAAAGTGCATGGACTTCTGCTGAGAATTCCTTTGCAGCATATGTTTGTGGAGGCAAATGCTTGACAAGCACATTTTAGGATTGCAATGCCTGGAATTTAGCACAATGCCATTTTTACTCTGAGAATACAGATATGGAATATATGAATGATCTGTGGCATGATGACCCAGCAAAGTGAGATAAACACACACGCAACCGTCATCCCCAAAGTATAGATCTTTACTGTTCAACTGAAGCAAATCAGAGAATCAATCAATGTTTATTTATATAGCCCAATATCACAAATGTTACATTTGTCTCAGTGGACTTCACAGTTTGTACAGAATATCAGTATGGCAATATGACACCCTCTGTCCTTAGACCCTCACATCGTACAAGGAAACACTTCCGGAGAAAAACCACAGTTATGAAGGCACATGGTGAATGGTAAAGCTATGTGTTGCAAAGCATGACTGAACCACTAATCAAAAGTTAAAAACAAAGGCTTCATTTTTATTCACACCAAAATTAATTAAAAGGTTTTAGCTCAATGCTCTAGGCTACATTTCATAATTATTTCTGACTGCAGTGGATTTTTTTTATTAAAACACTCAGATATGGTTAACATCTAAAGATCTTTTTAACATTTGTAAAGGGAAAAAATGACTTGATTTTTGTGAAAGGAGCAGCTGGAGTGAAGGGTTGCCTAATCAAATCCTTAAAAGTAACTTTTCTTACCATCAACTTCTCATAAACTATATCCAATGATTAAAGTTAGAGAGTCAGCAATTGGGGCTCAACGGTGCCAAAGTGGACAGGATATGAGTCTTTAAAGATCATGTCAACATGTTGACCAGCATCAAAAGAAGGCCTACATAAAGAGTAAACAGACTTTAAACAACAGTCTTTGGTCTTGATTTCACTTCCTTAACCTGTTAAGCCCTGAGCATTTTTTTTACAGGTTTCAGGCTCGAAAATAACATGCCCAGAACAAATGACTATATATTTTTTCTCAAAGCAATGAGAAACCTGTGAATCAATATAGATGTTTTTATTTTAAAGTAAATTCAGATTGAACATGGTAAAAAACTGTAAATTATAGTTTCCGTGCAAAAAAAAACCCATTACTTATAGTGAAAACCACCCTTGAATGATGGGATAATAGACTAAAAGCTTTAGGAATCCAAAGTAAAACATATAATAAGTACCCTGTATCAAGATTGATGCAAAACAAGTGAAATGTGACCTTTTTAGAGAGATTTAGAAAAAACAAAACCCACCTCTGGGGTCCTTTGGGTATATTTGCCATATCTCTGGAACCTGTTGAGGTCTCCATATTAAGTTGAATAATTAAAACAAAAGTTAATATAATCAAATATTATCAAATAATAATCAAATATATTCTTGTATAACCCACAATGAAAATGCATTATATTTCATGTTGTTTAATGTGTTTTTTATCACCGACCATTTATGAGGATATTCCTCTAAATTCTGTCGGAAAATAATTTAAAAGGTACAATTTAAATGTCACAACTGAGGTGGGCCAGTTGAATTTAGAATTTAAATGTCACAACTGAGGTGGGCCAGTTGAATTTAGAATTTAAATGTCACAACTGAGGTGGGCCAGTTGAATTTAGAATTGAAATGTCACAACTGAGGTGGGCCAGTTGAATTTAGAATTTAAATGTCACAACTGAAGTGGGCCAGTTGAAGTTAGAATTTAAATGTCACAACTGAGGTGGGCCAGTTGAATTTAGAATTTAAATGTCACATTTGAGGTGGGCCAGTTGAATTTAGAATTTAAATGTCACAACTGAGGTGGGCCAGTTGAAGTTATAATTTAAATGTCACAACTGAGGTGGGCCAGTTGAGGTTAGACTTTAAATGTCACAACTGAAGTGGGCCAGTTGAAGTTAGAATTTAAATGTCAGAACTGAAGTGGGCCAGTTGAATTTAGAATGTAAATGTCACAACTGAGGTGGGCCAGTTGAAGTTAGAATGTAAATGTCACAACTGAAGTGGGCCAGTTGAAGTTAGAATGTAATGTCACTGTTAAGCTACGTAATTGCTTTTAAGAACTGAACCCACAATACAAACACGGACAGAAAACAGGAGTTTGCAGCAAAAGGTTTTATTTCCAATGGTGACAGGGGAAACTAACTGTGTTGATATATTCCAGGAAAGGGAATAAATCAGCGAGGGAATGGAGATCCTCAGCCGAGGCTCCGGAGTGAGCTGGGGATATCGCCAGGCAGACGAAAGGTGGCTAGAGCCTGAGTCTTTACGCTCCCGAGAGTGAGTTGGTTGGAGTAGGAGTTGTGTTTGTCCTACCAGACTGGAGTGTGGCGAGCAGGGGTTTCAGAGCCGAGGGGAGCGAGCAGGCTGGATCAGGTAGCGTGGAGAGCGGATGAATCCGACGAGGAAGTGGCTGGACGTGGCAAGCGGAGGAGGTGATGATGGATTCTGGACAGAGAGACAAACAGGTAAGACAAAAACTTATTCCGGAGTTGTGTCAGGCTAAGCTAGAAAGCAAATACGTTTTACCAGTGTAATCTTGACGACGAACTGGTGAAGACTGGATGAGGAGACCGGGTTAATAAACAGGTGTGGATGAGTAGATGATCAGGATGAATGAGAAGCAGCTGCGGAGATGAATTGGCGGGAATCAGAAGTAGGTCAGCCAAGCCCAGCCCGGGAGACAAACTGACAACAACAGACAACAAACAAAAAGGGAAGCAGAAGGAGGGAGTACTGCAAATCCTTACAGACACAACTGAAATGGGCCAGTTGAAGTTAGAATGTAATGTCACAACTGAAGTGAGCCAGTTGAATTTAGGATTTAATGTAAGAAATGTAAAACTGTGAATTGAGGTTTTATATTAGAAAAGGACCACAGCATGATATATTTGTATGATTGTCACATTGTAACGAGAAAAGGTAAAAACCCTGTAAAAGTGTGGACCATTTTCTTCAAATAAAATCATCCCACCTTTTTGGATTGGGATAACTTAAAAGAAATCTGCGCTCTCCTCTCCTGCTTAAAGGTAAGACTGCACAACTGCCACACTCACACTTAGGCAGGGCCACACCTCATTACTGATACCAGAATCCTTCGGGAGTCTGAATTGAAACAGCAGTTAATTTAACCTGGTTCTTCAGTAGAGGTGAGACCTTGCTGAAGATCCAGGTGGATCCGAGCCTGGCAGTAAACTTACATAGACTCAATAGCTTATGTTAGGTTAATTAGTAGGTCTGAGTAATTGCCGGAATAAATTTACAGGCCTCCCGACTCCAACAAACCCATTGGTCGATTTTGGTGATTGACACCTCTTGTGAACCGTTAGAGCCAATAGAATTGAGGGGGGGTTCCTAAATCCATCTAAACCAGGGGTGCCCAACCTTTTTTGAACCGAGAGCTACTTTTGAAGTTGCCAGTCTGCCGAGATCTACCAGTCCAAATAGAGAGGCGTAGCCACTACTGACAGCCTACTACCAGGTAAATACACACTTCTACTTGTATAAAACTGACCTTTGTACGATGAATACTTCATAAAATACCGCAGATCCTTTATCTTACCTCTTTCTAATCTACACACATACAAATATTTAACTGAAGTTACACAACAGTGTTGTTGATACAGAGTTGGAGTTTATTCACACGTCGCATACTACAGTGGGTAATGTTTTCAAGAAACATTGAACAGTGCTGCCACATATGACACAGGAAAAAAAGAAAAGACTCTGAACCCTTTCTTTGTCATTATATAAAAATAGTGTTGCTACAAAAGTATAAATTAGGCTTACTAATAAGACAACTGAGATCTGAAGCTACACAGGAATCTGCTGCCAAAGTGCAATAAAAAAGACAAAATTAATAGAATCAAACCCTTTTTTGTTGTTGCATTTTAGTAGAGTATAAAAAGAAATGCCTTTAAAATAGGATGCAAGCAACACTAGTTTCTTAACCTGAATTGATAATAGACTAGGGCTCCACGATATTGAAAAAAACTGACATTGCGGTTTTTTGTTCCCCTGCAATATATATTGCGGTTTTTTAAACCTGTTAAGCCCCAAGGTCCCGGCGGGTACTTTACTTTTTTTTTCACGACACTGTGTCTCTCAGGGGATCTTAATATTTAAGAACCTATTAATGTGTTATACCAGATTAACGGAAATAATCTCAGCTAACTGACGATACAAACCATTTTTACCAAAACAAAACACAAGTCTCATAAGAAGCATCTAAATGACCCCTGAGCGAAAAATGCTAACGGACTTTGGCACAGAACTCAAGATAAAAGTACCCTTATTACTTATCGTAGCTGCACATACAAGATATCCGATTAAAGCTGAGGTTCCACAGATTATTTAGGTATATAGTATCATTACTGAGTCATCCGAACTCGCGACAGGGGAAGCAAACACAGACATCACAACACGTACCTTTTACGGAGCTTCTAGGGAGATCGTCTCACCGTAGCTGTCAATCTGATCAAAATTGTTCAATGGCATTAAAACGAGAAAAAACGCGGCTGAATCGGTTAATCCATAGGTTTTTAACGTCTCTGTATAAACAAATTATTTCATTTATAATCCATAATTCAATTTGTATGTAAAAATCGCAGAGCAAAAGTTAGCTGCTAATGGTAGCCACCAGAGTGGCTGCTGCTTCCGGTCTCGGCTATGCAGCAGTCTAATACACACATTACCAAATAAGGAGTGAGAGTGACGCGTAGCCAAAACCGGAAGCTGCATACACTCTGGTGACTACCATTAGCAGCTAACTTTTGTGCTCCGATTTTTACATAAAAATGGAATGATGGATTATAAACAATTGCTTCAAAGCCACAGATACATTATTAACCTATGGATCAACCGATTCAGCCGCGTTTTTTCTCGTTTTAATGCCATTGAACACGTCTTTTGATCAGATTGACAGCTACGGTGAGACAATCTCCCGTAAAAGCTCCGTAAAAGGTACGTGTTGTGATGTCTGTGTTTGCTTCCCCTGTCGCGAGATCGGATCGCTTAGATACTATACTTAAATAATCTGTGGAGTCTCAGCTTTAATCGGATATATTGTATGTGCAGTTTCGATAAGTAATAAGGGTATCTTTATTTTGAATATCTGTGCTAAAGTGCGTTAGCATTTTTTTAAAAAAAATGAATAAAACCGCACGTCCCTGCGGTGTGAATATCGCGCATGCGCATATCGCGGTTATTGCCATGACGCGGTATATCGTTCAGCCCTATAATAGCCTATAATCAATTTAAACAGAACAGATCTTAATGTTTGCATTCTTATACCATTTTGTGCAATAATTATAATGAATAAGTTCAAACAAACTAAAACTTACAGCTGATTAATAACGGTATCTAACTTGAGTTTTTATTATATCAAAAACCTGTTGAAATACTACTGTTATTTTTACTGTCCCCAAAAAGCGCGTCGGCAGCCTCCAGGAATGCTTCTTTCACAACTTCGCCGTCTTTGAAAGACTTCATGTGTTTCGCAAGAACGTGACTAACACGATAAGATGCTATGGTAGCAGCCTTGCTCTTGTTGTTGGGCCTGGTGAAAATGGACTGCTGTGCATTTAATAATAATAATGCATTACATTTTTTATTAGAGCGCTTTTACAGGTGCTCAAAGCGCTTTACAAGTACACATTACACATATTAGACATGTAAGAGTCATTACTGCGGACATTACCCACAGGAGCAAATTTAGCTGTCCTTTCAGGTCCCTCCCCTTTTGGGAGCGTAGGGCAGAGTCCACGGGTCTGATTTTCAAGACCCGCTCCCGCCCCGCACCTGCGACGTGCAATACCGAACCCGCCCCGCTACCCGCACATATTGCCAATTAGTTCCGCAACCCGACCCGACTCGTCGGCACAAGATCCGCAACCCGACCCGAACCCGCATAGCCTATATATGAGCAGTGAAAACGTGCAATTATTAACACACGCAGTTGCATATTTGTCTCAAAAAGCGTGGGATGTTGGTTATTTTCTCCATCTAGGATGACACCAAAAGCCTCCCAGACGTTGAATTTCGCTCTTGAGGAAGTGTTATTGAAAATGCTGTATTCTCCGCTAGAGAGCTTCACCTCAGCCATTTCGAATGTGGCGCGCACAGCAGCAGATTGATGCGCTGCAGAGGTTATGATGTTGGAGTTTTGAGGTTTTTACAACCCCACTCGGCTCCGCGTGTCGTTTTGACGAGTCCTGCTTAAAATCATAACAGGAAGGAAATCAGACAGAGAACACCCAGATACCAGTTTAAACAATCTGTTTTAATTATCAAAGGTAATAATGCAATGCACTATAATACATTACAACACCATATAATACAATATACTAAAATCATATTGTAATGTTTTAAGAAGTAGCCGGCCACTTCTGCCCTGGTTCGCGTGCTGCGGAGATCCTTCCGGTCCTGACAGCATGTGAAGAGAGGCCGAACTCAGGAATCAACAGAATATATACCAGAAGACAGAAGGAAGGGGTGAGGTCAGCTGGTCATCTTTTCAGGTCCTCTCATTGGCAGACGCAAAATATGCTTTGTCACAATGACCCAGCGCTGGCCAGCAGAAAACCAAACGGGCCCATTTTACAACAAAACACATCTTATCACCCAAGTCATGTGTTTCTTTATGAAAGCCATACTTGTTGGGAATATAACAGTCATTATCCCATGACATCCTCAGAACTAGCTCACCAACAAGCCTAACTGTCTTCATACCCCCCCAATCATCTCTGAACTTTTATTCACCCGAAGTAAGCTCACCCTTAGTCTAAAAGGACCATTGTCTCTCTTAACTGTGTGACTAAATTCTCAAGGCCTGCAGGATGCGCATAATTAACTTAGAACAAATTTAGCCACTATATCTAATGGTTAACCAAGAAAAACACTCAAAAGGGTAATCTTTTTACTCAAAACAGAACTCACAAGTAATTCTGCATTTTACCCCTCAAAAATAGCCTAAACCACCCTTTTGATGAAAAGGGTACAAGTGAAAGAAAAAGACTATTGCGCTAATCTACTTTAAAGAAAAAGGGAACATTGTTTCAGGAATCTATAAAAAACCTCTCTATATTTAAGAGGAAAAATGTATTTTGTTCCTTCAACTATTAATACAAAGGAATGTATATACCCACACATATATTTAGGGATAACATGATGCAATACACCTCTTATATATTGGTGAGATTAAAATGAATATACCAAAAATATGCTGCATCACATCTTCTGCATAATTCTCTTCATAAACTTCCGCAATTATTATGCGCGGTCTCGTGGGGGAGAGGTCTGAGGATTAAATTATTATTATTTTAATATATTTATTATGCAATACCCGCAACCCGACCCGCATCATCTTTGTTTTACCCAGAACCGAACCCGGAAAAAAGCGTTTGAAAAAATACCACCCGCGAAACACCTTTTTTGCGGGTCACCCGTCGGGTACCCGCGGGTACCCGACCCGATGCAGGACTCTGGCGTAGGGCAGAATTAGGAGGGAATTCCGTCTTGTAGCGTTTGTGCACCGTTTTGAAATGCCGCTCCTAAATTACCCTTCTTCGATAAAGCCACGCTCGCATTGCAGATGAGACAGATGGACTTTGAATTGGAATATATACAAAAATAATCATCCTCCCACTCGGAGTGAAAATTTGATATGTTTTGGGCTTTTTTGCTTCTGCCATAATTGCGGTGTGCGGACTGTCACTGGTTGACACGGACAACGTCAGCGAAATAGTGCCCACTGCCCACCAGCCACGCCCCGACACATGGGGTCACGCCGGCCAATCACAAAGCTTTGATGCGTTCAAGAGCATTATTCTGGCACAGGAAGATTATGTTATATAGGACATTAACGATAAAACAGAATATTGTTGTTCTATTTTTAGACACATCTCGGGATCGACTGGGAATCTCCCCGCGATCGACCGGTAGATCACGATCGACTGGTTGGGCACCCCTGATCTAAACATTACCATTGAGGATTGAGTGTGATGCGCACGCAGTTTGCCCAAACCAAAAGCTATGTTACACTCTATAGAAAACTATAGGTTACTTACATAACCCCAGTTCTCAGAGT